TAGACTATCCCAGTATCCAAGCATGGTAGATGTTCACGGTGAGGGGTGATAATAAGCAGCCCAGGTAATTGTATTAGTCATCCAAAGGTCGTTCGGCTGCTAGATTTTGTTAGTTCTAGAAAAATGATGGCTGTTTACTGGTATATACAGCAGCCCGGTTATACTCTGTTTCACAGAAGCCTATGTTGACATGCGCGCGATAGCGGGCGGAGCAGAACTGGTACATACATACAGGCATACATACAAGCCAATACACCAAGTAAGCGCTTTATAAAATACCAGTTTGGCGGGTAGTTTATCAATGCGGTCCCATCACACGGGACCGCATTGATAGGAAACAGGACCATTGATAATTTTATAGTTCACCGTGGGATACTCCGCAAATCCTTGGCGCCCACAAATAGCATTTGGCCCCATTCCTTCGCCTACATTTATCCACTTTCCCAGCCTCTGGGCTCTCTTTTACCCTCTGTAATATTACGTGACAAACACCGCCTATTTCAACGCACACTCAACCCACCAACAGCGGTTGACCTCCCCTCCGTTGAGAAACTTAATCCACTTTTTCGGGTCTTCAGGACTTCCTGGAACCGAGTGATGAATTTTCGTCGCAAACTCGCCCACTTTAATACACCCCGCCAACCAAAAGCAGTTGGGCTTCACTCTGTCACCCACCTCTATTCACCCTTTTCCGGTTTCCGGGAATTCTTAGAATGGTGTCATGAATTTTCGTCGCAAACTCTGCCCGCTTTGGTGCATGCTTAGTGCATCAAAAGCATTGGACCCCATTCCCTCCGTCAACCCTTATCCACATTTTTCCGGTCGCCTGGACTTTGGAACCGAGTCATAAGAGCGGTAGCTAACTCCGCCCACTTGAGATGTGGCACGACCAGCGTTTCCCCTCATCCTCCCCTCCTCCTCTAACCTCTACACACGTTTTTTTTCCGGTTTCTAATTCATCTCGGAACGGAATTATGATCTTGTAGGAAGTGCGATCGAGCAACCTATCTTCGTGGCAAACCCCGCCCACTTTGGTGCATGCCTAGCCTACCGATAGCGTTTGACTTTCATCTCTTAAGTCTTGCACACTATTCAACAACGAATCGACCACGTCCTTTTTGAACTCATTCATCCGCACATTCTTGATAATGTCCTTGTATAATTTCCATGCGTTCACCAATAGTGTTTGAGTTATCAAATCGAAAAATATCCTTCTGTACCACTTCACAGTTTTACGCACAAATGGCGTGTATGAAGCCATTCGATCGTACTGATCAACGAACGATTTCATCTCCTTGTCGTTTTCTACAATTTTCGGCTTCTGAGAAGATCCAATAGCGGCATCGTGTTTGTGGATACCATGTACAAATCCCTTCTGTCTCGCCATTTCAGCACTAAGACACCATTTCGTTTCTGTTTGTAACAGAGCTGACCTCTTCTCAATTTTTTCTCTCTGATTGCTTCCGGGATCCCTTTTCTGTTTCTTCTCAAGGTTCCAACGAGGTGGGTTTTCTTGGATATTAACTTTTCGGCGAGTCCAACACTGGAGTAAAAGTTTTCAGTGCACAGCGTCCGCCCCTCATCAAGATAACCTTCCATTAACTCTCACACAACTTTGTCTGCGAGTGGTCCTTCTCTTGAGGGATCTCTTCCAGCATAAATCTTCACTCTGACTGTATATCCGCCTCTACAGCATAGTTTGAACAACTTTATCTCGTATCTGTGACGCTTTGCCGGTAAGCATTGCCTAAATACAATTCTTCCTCGAAGTGGTACGAGAGATTGATCAACGCAGACTTCTTTTCCATGTGAATAATACTTTGCAGCTGCATTGTTGAACAGTTCCAAAATTTTCTGATTTTGTAAAGTCGGTCGCCGTCGAATTTATCATTATCAGCTAAGTGAAGTAGCTTCAGCAATTCTTTAGATCTGGTTCTCTTCATGAACTTCCCGGCTTGACCACCAACACAAGGTCTAGAACTCCAATAATCTCGTAGATTCGGCATCTTTACAAGTCCTATTTGCAAGCATAGACCGACGAATCTCCTCATCAAAAACAGCTCGTAAAAATCTATTGGCTCCTGGCAGTCAAAAACATCATCACTTGGGCAAGAGTCGCCGCTAAAACTCCACGTATCATGAGCTGCAGCTTCGCTAGACCAAGACGACACAATTTCGGTATCACTTATCAGTTCTTCTTCATCGGATTCTGATTCCCTGCGCATGACAAGTTCATCCATTTCGTCTTTGGTCGCTCCTTGGTCCTCAGTATCCGATTCAATTAGGAAATAGCCCAGTTGCATGGTATCTTTTACATGTACATCATCGTCAATTCCAACCATTTTATATGCCTGAACAGGCGTCTAGTTGGGAGAAACTTCTATCATATAGGCCATCTTTGTGTGCATTCCTATCATGTAAATGAACTCACTTAACTTAGGCTTTGCGGAAGTTGTTTTACTCGTGAGGTTTCAAAAACGCACCTTATGAGACAAAGCGGCAAATATAGTTGCCGCGGCGGCAGTGCCCGCGAAACCGCTCATGTCCCATACTGCGAAAAAAGCCAAAACGCGCTATGTCGTCAACGTGTTAAAATCAACTTCTAGCGACAGCTGATGGGCGCTCTGAATTTCAACAAACACAAACGCACACCAACAGACACACTCAGCCGATTATATATAGTTGGATCATCGGATCATCTTTCTCGGGTGCAATGGAATATCATAAGATGCCGTCACAATATTTGCCGCAATGTTCAGTGTAAGTGTGCAGTTCATTTGCACAACACATCTTGTCTGACGACCAGTGACACGGTGGGGGTTTGACGACCTACTGAAGCTACTTTCTTGTCTCTTCTAACGACACCAGCGCCGACAACGATACCTGTTAAGATGGCAGAGGCATTCACGCTACGGGAAATTACATCTTACATATAAGCTGAGGTTATCGCGATCGTTCATTATGAGTTTGCCATACAGGAAGTTGCAATCTTCTCTCTTGCGATAGAAGGATTCATAGTCTCCATAGTGATAGCATGCTATAACAAACACAATGTGCGCCCTACAAGCACTGAATTTCAAACAACTCACAGCGTGATTCCTCATCGTAAGGGTAGGACGAGTTCACAGGGGTGACATAGCGAGCCCGCCGAATTTCTGAAATCGAAGCAAACCTTCGACAATCGGGACACGGTTCCGTAAAGTGTTGCTGAACCTTTCGTAATTACAATACCCATTAAAACGAGAATTTCAAAAGCAGTCCATCCACATAGGCAATTCCTTTGTATCTAAAATTTGATTTGAATGCGAAATAGTGAAAGCGAGGAATGAAAAGAAGACTCTACCATTCTACGGGGATATAGTAGACAAATGAACTTCACTCACATTATCATCAACAGACTAGGTAAACAATAGAAAATCATCAGATCAGATTTTTTAGGGCAGACGCAGACGTTGGCAATTTTCAGAATGGGTATTTAACGGCATCAGCCATTTATAAGCAGAGTAACATCCTTCCTAAAATATAGAGAATTGCAGTTGCAAAACGAATGAGGTGGGATGCATTGACTTTGCAGAACAAGGGTAAAGCAGATGGTACTGAATCACATTATGCCCCATCAAGATTCTCATGATCGTAGACTCACAGGGACAGAGTCTTAAGATGTCTGTCAGACTCGGCCTTCGGTCGGCAACCGCTCGCCAAAAGTGCAAGCGACGGGCGCCGGCTCCGTCCACGAAACAGTCGACCGGCAGGGGTCTGTCACGTGCTCTTTCAACGTCGATGTCGATCCCGGGAAGCGCCAACGCCTGTTGCTTGCACTTCTGCAGAGCGATGGCAGTCGCTCGGCGATCGCGTTGCCATCGCGATGGATAGGGAGGATACATGTGGAGAAGCGTAGCGCAAACGAATCTGATTGCGATCGCCCGCTCAGCTCAATCGCTGTGTCTGAGGGATCTGACCTGGGTAGCGATTCCTCCGATTTAGCGTACCTTTGGCAAGGCGCCGCGAACTGTTCAAAAATAGACTGGGTACTATACCTAGTACATAGCGAGTATTACATGTGAACAAACATAGCGCACTCGGATTGACTAACTGAGCGACAATTTCAGAACAATATCACTAGGGAAACCAGGGTAAGCAAATCTTTGGATGTCACGCAATACCCAGTTGAGGATATGACAACTGGAGAAAGTTCCGGAACCAATATTGAGGCGAGCCAAATAGTTTTTAATGATTCACTATTTTTGATGATGTCATTCTGCCTTTTCTAAGCTTCTGTTCCTATTGCATATTTATTTCCAAGGTCCTAACTGCCTTTACATTATTTCGCCCCTCTCATTAATCGTGTTTTCAAAGTGGATTTGTCTTCACCCTAACCTCAGTGAGAAGACTCTGCGGTGTAACGGCGGACAGTGGTTCGTATGAGGTAGAGCCGAACCATTTTTTCCATGACTTATTTCTTATCTTCGTTCTTATGTGATCGGAACTGATAACGACTGATAATAGCTGATAGGAGGGGCTAGAAAGCGAGCATTGCCAATTTGATTTTGTCGTTCATATTGGTACTAGAGTGTCTATACTTACAAGTGTTGTGTGGGGTGGTCCCGGGACATTGGTGGTACATGAATGAAAGCGATAGCAATTGATAAGGGCTGATAAAAAGTCGTCGATTCCATTACTTAGCTGGCATCGACACCAGTGCATCCATACTAACAAGCATTATGTGGGATGGGACGGGGACATTGTTGGTTGGTGATGGAAAGTGATTACAACTGACTGATAAGACGCGTCAGAACGCAAAAATCGTCGATTCCGTTACATAGCTTGCGTTGACACTAGAACGTCCCTACTTACAGAGTTATGTGGGATGGGACGGGACATTGTTGGTTGGTGATGAAAAGTGGTTACAACTGATAAAGGCTGATAAGACGCGAACGCTGAAGTCGTCGATTCCGCTACCTGGCTTGCATTGACCCGTGCATCCACACTTACAAGCGTTATGTGGGATGGGACGGGAACATTGTTGGTTGGTGATGAAAAGTGGTTACAACTGATAAAGGCTGATAAGGCGTGTCAGAACGCAGCTTGCGTAGCTTGCGATCATACTAGAGCGCCTCTACTTACAAATTCTCTTTGCAGTGGTACGTGCACATTGATCATTGTATGACCAGCTCACTTTAAAGCAGTCAAATGCATAAACTCAACAAGTCTTTTGCAAATGATAAGTTTCATTTCTAATCCTTCTATATTATAAAGCGCTAACTTTGTGTGTCGGTTTGTGTATCTGTATTGTGTTTATGTATATTTGTGTCCGTCGCCAAAATGAAGTGAGTGAGAAGGAAGCTCATGGGATAAACAAACCGCTAACAAATCGGGTAGCTTACAGGATTTGAGATATCAATGTTTTGTAGCAAGATAGTTGTGATAACACTCTCAGGGCTATATAAACACCTGCTTAGCACACTTCCGTTCATTCCACATGGTGCTGCAGTGGCAGCTGGAGGGCGTGTAGAGAGGGAGGGAAGATGAGGAGGGGAAGCAAAAAATCTACCGTCATATCATGATTGTGTCCCTTCTACTGTTTGAAACACCTTTGTTTGCATACGCGTCACTTCCACGAGGTATTGGTGTCTGCCACAGGAGGAAGGGACCATAGCGGAGGATAGAAAGCTTGCGCAGGAAAGGAAGGTCCCGGCGGTTGACGGGGGACTAATCTGGTTTCTAATACAATATCAAGAAAGCCCAAACTCATTGAACCGCTAATCCTTTCGGGGTTCTAAATAATGGTGAATGTAAATAAATGATAAGCCTTAGCTCCTCACTTATGTAAACAGGCATGTTTCGTTTTCATTTTGAGAGTGACAGCAATCCTATTCACCGCTAAATTATCTGAATTGAAGAAGAATGGTGGATGTTTACAGTTGAAATAATTATGCCAGTCCAGCTCCAGACGTTATCACGCGTATTCTCGATGGACTTCAGCGAAGCTAGGAATGGTCTAGCACATGCAATAGTGAGGTGGTTAATGGAGTATCACATGGTGATATTCCATGGGCCCTCCAGTTTCGCTGAAGCCTGCCGTGTGATGCGCGCGATAGCGGGCGGAGCAAAACTGGTCAGGTAAGAAGTTAATTAAAATGAGGTACTTGGTGTGTTTCATCAATACTGGGCTTTACAGAGTGCACAGCGTGCCTTTGGAGGAATGGAGGTATGCAATTCTTTGAAAATGTTGTTTAGCAGCCAGGTTTCGATATATTTGATACCGCTATTACAAAAAGAAATTTTGATTTTCGAGGCATAAACCTTCATGTACTAGCAAAGCAAATACGGGTCCTTTCCTTAATGAGAAAACCTGCCCTCGAAAGATGTAGTGCACACTATCCCTACTACATATAAAAGGCTATGTCTGTCTGTGCGTGTCGCGAAATTCATAATACGCGTCGCAGCTGTCGTCAGGGGGGTGTGAAGGGAACATATTTGTTTGGGGGACAGAAAGTAACGACTGGTAAGAGGCACTAGAACGCCAATTTCACGGATTTAATAGCGCACGTCCCGGCAGCAGTAAGGTGTTGATTCCGAAAACTGATGAAGTGAGGACGGGAATAAATTTGGTGGGGACGCAAAGTGATAACGGCCGATGAGGGCTGATAAGAAGCGCTGAATGCAAATTTCACGAAATTTACTATGGGTGTCCCAGCAGCATAGAAGCGTTGTTCCAATGAGTGATGTAGAGGGTGGGCCGGGCACATATTTGCTAGGGGTCAGAAAGTGATAACGGCCGATAGTGATAACGATAAGGACTGATAACAACGATATGCGTAAGAATATAGGGGTCACTCAAAAGCAGATTTGAGTGATGCAATTCATTTCAGTTTCATTTCACTTGCACTATCGTCCTGAGCCCAAATTAGCATTCGGCCGCTACACCCCCCCCCCCAAAGTTATTAAAATGTTTGAATGTTGAAGAACCATGATAGTGAGTACTGAGTATTACCATTTCAACGTCATTGGCATCACCGATTAGCCGACCACCGACCAAATTATTCTGACATCCGATGCATGGTGCTTGTTTACGACATCATTTTAGCTCCGTACTCCACCGCGCTTATCAGGCGGACAGTCAGCTGACACTTTTCACAAAGCAACTCATTTCTCACCGGTGTAACCTAACGCTCCATCTCCTGTCCACTTTCACCGAAGCAAGGTCAACCCTGTGTTGCTAGAAGTAGCAACGGGGGGGGGTCGTATTTTGATGAGTTCGTAGAGGGGGGGTCGTACTTGCTTCGATTGTAAGAAGTTGCATGTGAAGAGTGGGGAGCGGCGCGGTAGCATGCGGAGCCAAACTGGTTCTAGATATGAGGTCAAGCAAGTATCTTTTAGTCTTTCCATGTCCTCCAGCAAGACTAGCTACTCTTCTTCGCGTGACTTTAGATGATACGATGTAAAGGAAATTAACACAAATGGAATGGAGCTCGCATGAATTGAAATGCGTGGACTGCCATGAATCGACACGAAATTTTTGAAAAAAAAAACTTGGAACCATTAGACGTTTCATTGAATGTCACGTCAATATTGTCATCAAAGGTGATGAAGGCGTACAGATGGAATGCCCCAATGAGGAAATTAAATATTAATAAATATCAGTATCTTCCTCGATAACCAACACAAGCCACTCCTGGCAAACATAGCCATGGAGCTCCCCAGCAAGACAAAGGTAGAATCCGAGAGGAGAATCCGGTGGTGAGAGTTGCACCGTGCAGAGAAGAGTGACCTCAAGCGAAGGATAATGGAAGTCTCCCAGTTTTTGAGGGACCAGTGCAGCAAGCTTGGGGCACTGCAGCTGAGATCATCCTACGATGCGCCAAGGAGGTATTGGGAGAGACGCGAGGTGGATTCAAAGGAGACAAGGCAGCGTGGTTCTGGAACGAGGAGGTCCAGCGAGTCGTGAAGCAGAAGAAGAAAGCATACAATTTCTGGCAGAAGACCGGAGCCCCCAGGACCTCGCTGCCTACAAGAGTTGCAAGAGGCTACCGTAGCTAAGGCAAAGAACATGGAGATGGACGCCTTGTACGAGAAGTTGGAAAGCAGAAGCGCAGAGAAGTTCGTCCAAGACTGGCCAAAGCCCGGCATCGGGTTACTCAAGATATCGGGGTGGTGAAGAGCGTGAAGAGCAGCAACGGCGCCATACTGGGGAAGCCAGCTCAAGTTCGGAGGAGGTGGGAGGAGTACTTCAGA